TTCACTATGTCAACTGCCTTCAGATTTCTTCCATTAGCCTTATTTCACGCCTCTCTATTTACGTTTTTCTGTGACTTACCGTCTAGTCTAGCTAGGGGGTCATGTCCGAAGTCTTGGTCTTGAGTTTTAGGGCAAGGTCGTGGCCTAGAGGTTTCTTGCGGTGCGTTGCGTCTCTCTCTCTCTCTCTCTCTCTCTCTCTCTCTCTCTCTCGCGCGCGCGCGCCACTCGCTTGCCGCATTAGGTTTCTCGATAAGACTTGTTATCGCCGGAAATAGTTTCGTTCATGTTCGCTATGTAGCGGTACATGCGTTAATGTCTCTACGTTTACGGAAATATCGCCTAGTCACTCCCGCGTTACCTCACACGACCACTTCGCTTTTCATTCCGCTACCGCCACAAAAGTCTCCCGCGCAAATCGGAGGTTGGGGCCGTGACAGAAGCGGACAGAACGACGGAAACGAGATTGGTTTTCGTTACTTGAGGAAACGGGCTGTAACGTACGGAGGACGGAGGAGTCGACATCGAGGAGGTATGCAGGCTTTACTCGATCGATGCTCACACGGAGATCTTTGCCGTTGTAGGAGATGGTCTTGGCGTCTCTGCGAATGACTGACTATGGACCAGTTGATCGAACCGGAAATTCGTCGGGTAAAGAAATTCTTCTGGGGAAGCGCGAAGATCCTCCTTGAAAACTCTACGGATTCCAAGCAGCATGACGGGGAACGAGTCGAATCTGGAAGCGCCTGAGTGGCACATTGGCACTGATTTCAGTTTGCGGTGAAATCTTCAATCAGACCATTGGCTACTGGGGGGTAACTGCAGGTGCGGGATTGTTCTGTGCCGAAAACAATCCTGAGGACACGAAATAATGCAAATTTGAATTTTCGTCCCTGATCTGTGGTGATCCTAGTAGGGGAACTGTTTCTCTGTTTCTCAGTTTCTCTATTTCTCTATTTATTTGTTTCTCTGTTCCTCTGTTTCTCTGTTTCTCTATTTCACTATTTCTCTATCTCCCTATCTCCCTATCTCTCTAGCTCTCTATCCCTCTATCTCTCTATCTCTCTATCTCTCTATCTCTCTATCTCTCTATCTCTCTATCTCTCTATCTCTCTATCTCTCTATCTCTCTATCTCTCTATCTCTCTATCTCTCTCTCTCTCTATCTCTCTATCTCTCTATCTCTCTATCTCTCTATCTCTCTATCTCTCTATCTATCTCTCTATCTCTCTCTATCTCTCTATCTCTCTATCTCTCTATCTCTCTATCTCTCTATCTCTCTATCTCTCTATCTCTCTATCTTCTCTATCTGTATTCTCTATCTCTCTACTATCTCTCTATTCTCTATCTCTCTCTATCTCTCTCTATCTCTCTATCTCTATCTCTCTATCTCTCTATCTATCTCTATCTATCTCTATCTTTCTATCTCTATCTATCTATCTCTATCTTTCTATCTCTCTATCTCTCTATCTCTCTATCTCTCTATCTCTCTATCTCTCTATCTCTCTATCTCTCTATCTCTCTATCTCTCTATCTCTCTATCTCTCTATTTCTCTATTTCTTTATTTCATTATTTCCTTATTGCCTTATTTCCTTATTTCTTTATTAAGGATCATCAGATTCTTTATAATTTTGTATTGTCGCCCGTCCATCTGTCCGTCTGTCTATCCGTCTGGCCGTCCGTCCGTCCGTGTGCGCTATAACTCTTTTTAAAAGTGACCGATTCTGTTGAAATTTGGTGTACGGGTACTTTGGACATTAAGGACGGACGCTATTGTTTTTCAGGAAGCTGGTTCAACAGTAACAAAAGTTGTAGGACTCCGTGTGAATCGGGAACAGGGAAAACTGCGGGCTCAATATAATAGAAACCAATATATTTCATTCCCTAGGTGATGTATCGAGTTCGGACTTTTCCTAGATTATTCCCTATCACTCTTAGATGGGTAACAATTCAATATAACTCTTCTGTGTGGTCTAGATCAAAAGTTTTAGAGCAAAATGTACCCAAAATATTCTTTACACATGAATGTGTGATTCAAAAATGTTAAATTATTTTTCTAAAGTCACATGGATTTTGATCAAAACATGTCAAAATCTTTATTCATGCACCAAGATCGTTGGGGAAAAGACTAGGAGCATTATCTCAATGCCTCAATGACATGAATTTGATGCATTTTTGACGACCACGTGGATTTTGATCAAAACATGGCAAAATCGTTATTTATGCACCACGATCATTGGGGAAGAACTAAGAACATAATCTGAATGCCACTTTATTTCTTTATTTCTTTATTTCTTTATTTCTTTATTTCTTTACTTCTTTATTTCTTTATTTCTTTATTTCTTTATTTCTTTATTTCTTTATTTCTTTATTTCTTTATTTCTTTATTTCTTTATTTCTTTATTTCTTTATTTCTTTATTTCTTTATTTCTTTATTTCTTTATTTCTTTATTTCTTTATTTCTTTATATTTCTTTATTTCTTTATTTCTTTATTTCTTTATTTCTTTATTTCTTTATTTCTTTATTTCTTTATTTCTTTATTATTTCTTTATTTCTTTATTTCTTTATTTCTTTATTTCTTTATTTCTTTATTTCTTTATTTCTTTATTTCTTTATTTCTTTATTTCTTTATTTCTTTATTTCTTTATTTCTTTATTTCTGTATTTATTTATTTATTGTCCCTCTTGTTCTGGATCCTCAAAAGGCTTTCGCCCAATTACTGTAATCCCCATAATGCTTTTTAGAGGTGCCCCTGCAGGAAGGAGGTCTTAGATTGTTCTATACTACTCCGGTAGTTACCTTACAAATTAGGAAAACTGCAGGAAAACCTAATTCGGAGTAGCCGACAGCATGCTCAAAACTGATCTAAGGAAATTCCCTTCTCTGGAATTATAACTTTGACACTGACATGAGTAACACCGGCGACCTCTCATGACGTAGAGAGTCCAGTTACTCTATCAATAAGGCGTTGACGCTCGGCCAGTGTCTAACAAAAACTGACGGTCAATTACGAAAAGGTGACGTCCTCCTGTAGGGCATCAGCCGCCGCCGTTGGAGTTTGATTGAAACGAACAAGGCTTAGTGCAATTGTTTGCTTGATTTCCAAAAGGCGATAGTTGGTGTAGCAGCCTGCACCTCCATAATCTTGTCAGTGGTGATAGCAAGAGTATCTGTGGTAAGGTCAGTTTGTCCAGCAATATCCCTTGGTCGCGAGACACTGCTTCCAAAAGGTCCGCAAGGGGCTATCACTGTGGCACATCTCACTAAAGAGAGTATGTGACGTAAAAATTGTGAGGGAGTTCGGTAGCCAAGTTCCTCTTCCATCAATCGCTGACATGCACGACGTGCTTCTGACACTGACAGTCTACGAACAATTTCTGTCTTTAACGTGATGTACGAGTATCAACAGAATAATAATAATAATAACAATAGTTATTTTTTGAGTTGCCTGACAAGTTTATAAACACACACGCAAAATCTCCTGGAATAATTCTTTTCCCCTTATTTTAAAATACGTTGACAATTGAAAGACGAAGATTAGAATTTCTTTTCATTTAATTCGCCTTTTTTGAGCCATTGTCGGTACGTTACAAAGACTAACTAAATAAGAAAATAAATGTATACACTGTAAAAAAAAATCTACACAATTAATGAGGCAATATCGCAAGGAATTTCCAATTCATTGATCATTCAAAGTCAGGAGGTACTTGATATTTTCAGTGAGTGATTTTCGTTACGCTCACTTGAGTTTGCGAAACCATTCGAGGAGCATTAAATAAAGCTTTTGCGATTTGACTATTCCATAGAGGAAGATAGCGAAATTCAAAGGCACAAACGAAACATAATTTTTTTTCGGCCTTCTGGCGATACACAAAGGGACGACATCCTGATCGGAAAATCACTGAGCCGGATACTCGAAATTGTTGATTCCTTTTTCGTATTATTAAAAGTTAAGTAGGATGTTTAAAGAATTACGGACGCGCTGCGGAAAAAAAAGGTCGACCATTTGGCGTATGGGGTACTTCGGGCGCGCAATGAAATCGTCTTGAAAATGTAATATACTCGATTTTAAAACCTCTCGCAAACACTTCAAAAACCACCACTATTATTTTCGCGGCGGCCGTCCCCTTTATTTTGCGCAAAATTTAATAAACACGCGGTCACGAATTGCACTCGAGAAACCAACCCCGTAATGCGCGTTTTATATGAAATAGTTCCAACAGTTGGTGAGGCGATATTGCAATGTGGAGATTATTTGCATCGAGTACACGAGTTCGCTGCCATTTGGGAGTTAATGAAAATTACAACTTAGAGTGCGCCAAAATTAATTTCGTGTCTCAACATGAAAGCATTAAAGCAAATAGTGTACGGTGGTAGGTGGTGAACAAAAGGAATAATTTTAGGGCATTTATTTAAACGAGTTGTTCAATGTTCCAGAAGATTCTTCGTATGAGACTTAATTTTTCCTTCATAAATAATACAAGGGGTTATTATTCTCTTCTAGCGATTCACAATCTCTATAACAAATTGAACCACGCGGGAGGATTCTTGTTATATGATGGTAATAAATTCAAGAACAAATTTACTTTGCTCTAGAAGAGTCCACACATTTAGACAATTTAGTCGGTGTATTACTGTTTTAAATTTCGCAACAATATTCTCTATTTCACAATTCAACTTTATATAGGTCGACACAATTTTAATTTTGTTCCTTTAAATATTCCGTTATTGTTCGTATTTACCGTAATAGTTTCTAAGTTCTAAACTATCTCTTATTGTAACAAAACAAAAAATCTTAATTCGCGCTTATAAACTTTACACAATTGTCCCACACGTACCTACTCAACAATACGCATTCTTGATTATTATGATCTCACACCAATATATAAAATCACCCTGCGCTAATTTACAGGTAGTCAAGTAACTTCTAAAATCAGATCGCTTTACAATTATACTATGAAGAATGCTGATACGTTGAAATTGATTTTAATTGTTGTTTCAGGAACGAAGTAGATGTGGCCAAACAGCCTCACTGCTGGGTAAGTACAGTAAATGAAAATAAAAAAAAAATAGTATTCGGTAACGTGTTCTGTGGTAAACTAAATAACGAATTTTGCTCCTACATCTTTTTTGATATCTTTTATGGTAAAGAAATTATGATCCGACGGGTTTTAGATACTACACCCTGTACATATACGCGTGTATGAGCCGAAAAGCCTCAAAGCTTGCTACGTGTTGTAGGAGGCGACTAAACAACGGCAAGTCAACCGCAACCCTAGCCTTGGAATTTGGAGGGGGGAAGGCGAATAATGGTTAAAGACGATTCTGACTATTAAAATGCGTTCGAAAATTTAAGGCGCCGGTTAATCGTGAAATACGACGTGATTGTCTCAGGTTACAAGAAATATTATGTTAGTTTTGCAGTCGTCACGTGGGATGAGAATAAGAGGACAATTACTCCACTTGAGTCAACGAATTATAGTTGATTGAATGAAAAGGTTTGCGTTAAGAATCGGTGTCAATAAAAAAATTAGGTTAGTGGTAAGTTGGTTCTTGTGAAAGAACCGTCAAACAACGCTCGTTAACCCGTGAGGGAAGTTGGGCCAATACCCTGTAAATTACGGTAGGGTGGCTTAATATTTTGTGATGACACTCAAATCGAGAGGGGGTTACTACTTTCGGACACATTTGGAATAACCGTCAAGTGGCAATCAATGATGCCATTCATTATACGAGACCTATAAATTTGTACGCGATGGAACGAAAAAGGGGTATCGCCATTAGTATTGCTGTAGGGAAATGACCATCTAATTTTCGTTTACTAATACCCCAGTATTAGTAACCCCCCCCCCCCCCATAAATACCCTTACTTGTTACGTAATTTTCGTGCGTATGGTTGATCCTTTTTCAAAGTATCAGGATTCAGGGCTAACGTATTTCGAAAAAACAACACCGGCGGGAGGGGGAGATGTTTTGAAGGTTTGTTCGGAAGATTTAGATTCAGATATGGGGAAACTAGACATCCTAAACTACCCGTGGAAAGAGTGAAGAACATCTTTCGAAGTTGACATTGCGCCCTTTGCGCATGGAGCATTCAATTTTTACTATACGTGACAGGTTTTTCTTTTACTTTACTAGAAGCATCTGTGATTAAAATTTCTAATAAGATATCATGACCGGTTAATTGCTCGTGAACATTTATCATCACCAGTCTGACGGGCGATAACACAATCTTAAGTGTCTTTTACGTCGCCAAAACTGCTGAATCAGGATTTCTCGTAGTGATGTCATGGAGCAGCGTCAGAAGCGCTGCAACCTACTAATGCTGTATTGTAGGCGGTTTTTGCGAAATTGAACAAGAAAAAATGGAATAGAAAGAGTGTTTTTCGGGAAGCTGTCAACTGGAAAACCATGTTCAATACTTGATAGGAGAAGAAGATTTGATGATCGTTTTTTAGACCGGGGGGCCTGAGGTAAATACCCTATATATACCCTACACAGATATATACCCCAATCCACGGATTAACAGCTCTTAAAAAATTTCTCCGGCTACCAGGAGAATATGATGGACGAAGAGGTCTTTTCCCATCACCCGCAGATTTACTTTCGCCAAAACTTTTACAAAATCTTGTATCAGGAGAATATAATTTGCAAGGAGGTGTTCTTCTCCTAATACACGGAGTATCAGTTAAGAAATTGTTGTAAAATTTGTCCGATTACCAGGAGAATATGGTGGTGGAGGTCTTTTCCCATCACTCCCAGAAATATTTCATCATCTGACTTACCAGGTGTATCAGGAGAATATAATACTCGATCAGTTAGTAAAGTTTTGTAATATTTCTCCGGCTTTCAGTAGAACCTGATGATTTAGGAGAACTTTTCCAACTATCGCCTCAGTTTGACTTCTGACTTCTGCACAATCTTGTATCAGGGGCGCATTTATGCAGCTTTTTAAAGACATTTTTGAGTTAAAACACATCACCGGGGGGCCCTTGGAGTGTGGAATACCCTCCAGCAAAAGAAAATTCAAAATCGCTTCCAAACATTCTCCCTAGATCCCCCGGTGGTATGTTCGGACTCAAAAACGTTAAGAGTGGGAACCCACCAAAATTCTTGAGCAAAAATTGTTTCTAAAATGCTTGCTGAATACGGTCATCAGAAGTCTCGTATGAGAGTTCCTTTAACATCATACTCTCGCTTAAATTTTGTGTATCAGGAGTATATAATCTGCAAGGGGGTGTCTTATCCTAATCCACGGATTAGCAGCCCTTGTTAAACTTCTCCGGCTACCAGGAGAATATTGATGAACGTGGAGGTCTTTTCAAATCAAACACAATTTGTATCAGGAGAATATAATGTGCAAGGAGGTGTTCTTCTCCTAATACACGGAGTATCAATTCACAACATGTAAAATTTCTCCGGTTACCAGGAGAATATGGAGGTCGAGGTCCCATCACCCCCAGAAATATTTTCATCATCTTACTTTCCAGGTCAGAATATAATATTCGATCAGTTAGTAGTTTGTAATATTTCTCCGACTTCCATGACAACCTGATCGTCGAGACCTTTTCCCACTACCCCCTCACTTTGACTGCTGCAAAATCTTGTATCAGGAGCGCTTTTGAGCAGCTTTTTTACGACATCTTTGGATTGAAACACATACCCCCCGGTGCTATGTTCTGTGCAATACTTTTTTTTAGAGAAAAGAATTTTATCATCTTCCTAAAAAAATTATGAAAGCCTTGAGTGCTAAACGTTTTGTGGTGGATAGCCCAGTACCCGGAGCTTGGACCCCCCAGTGCATATTATCAAATTATCTAGGCTTCCTTTGCTAGGAAGTTTGTGGTTTTTTTTTTGAAACAATTATTGAATCTTTCTTGGCTGGGGGATATGCCGTACTCCCTGGATCCTCCGGTGATACGTTCGAACTTGGAAAGGTTATGAGTGCGCAAAAGCTATTTCTAAAATGCTTGCTGAATATGGTACCTCAGAAGGTACGTATGAATATTCCTTTAACACTTTGCTCTGGCTTAAATTTGTTGAAGTTTTGTATCCGGTATGTGCAAGGGGGTGTCTTTTCCTAATACACAGGTCTCCGGCTATCAGGAGAATTTGATGGACGAGGAGGTCTTTTCGCATCACTCACAGAAGTAATTTAAAACTTTGCTTCGGCATAAACTTTCACAAAATCTTGTATCAGGAGATTATATTGTGCAAGGAGGTATTTCTTTTCCTAATACACGGAGAACATATCAGTTCATATCGTGTACTCCTTTAAACAGGAGAACATGCAAACTGAGAGGGTTTTATCACCCTTAGAAGGTCTTGTATCAGGAGAATATAATGTGCGATCAGTTAGTAAACTTTTGTATTATTTCTCCGGCTGCCAGGAGAACATGATGGTCGAGGAGGTCTTTTTCCAACACCCACAAAAATATTATGCAAGCTTCTTACCTTATTTTAAACTTTTGCAGGCGGTGTTATCAGGAGAACATAATGTGCGAGGAAGTGCTTGTTCTTCTAATATACGGAACTATTAGGAAAACATTATTACCGAGAAGATCGTTTTCCAACACTGCAGAAATCTTGTATCAGGAGAAAATAATGTGCTCTTAATTTATGTTATTCTCAGGAGTGATTCAAGGGTTTTAAAAAAATTTCTAAAATGCCTGCTGATTACTAAGTACGCAGTGGCGTAACTACAATGCCTCAAAGGTTAGCAATGAGGACGGGCTCCGACTTAAAAGGGGCCTCGACAACAATGTACAAAAAATGTAATTCGTTTATACAACATTCTGAAAAAACTGAAAATTTTATTATGCTTCTATTAATTATTTACATATTTTCCGTTAGGAAGGAAGAGATAAAGCGTAAAAAAGCGTAATGCAATGCTGGCTAATGTTTTATTTACGAAGGGGCGCATGCACTTGCTTTTTTTACAGTTTACAATTACAGTCCGAGGAAAATTCTGAATCATTGTTCACGGAGGGTAAATATAAGTGAAAAATCTGGAGCAATATCTGCAATATACAAAAATTAACAATCCGAGGAAGTAACTCTTGAATTTGAATAACTTAAATCTGACTTTAATACAAAATTTGATGTGCTCAAAAGTAGCCAATTCAAATAGTTTTAGAAGCAACTCCACTCCTTTCTCATTTGTGAAAAATAGCATTCCGAAGTCTCTCTAAATGAACGACTTTGTTAATTAGCCGGACCTTTTCCAGTTCAGAAGGCATCTGGAGGTCCTGGATACGGTAACCTTAGATTGAAGTTATATCTCGAGATTCCAGCATTTACCTCTGCACGGACGAATAAGATTGCTAGACGGGAAAGTTCCCAGAAAAATTGTAAGGGATACCTATCTAAGTAAAAAGGGTTTTAAAGTTTATGGGAAATTTTCGAAAATGATTTTGAAAGGTTTTTGGCACTGTTTTCAGATGATTTTTAGAAGTACTTTCAAAATGACCTTTTTATGCCTATAAAGGAAGTTCTTTAAACTATTTCAAGAAAACTTTGGCACTAGAATATTTATAATATTCCAAAAAGCACTTACTAAAGAGACTTACCAGATTAGATGAGCTTGAGGGGTAGGCTCCGTTTCAAATACCAAAATCACAGTTAAGTTAAGAATTTACTGGGCGCACTTTAAAATAGCCATATACACAGAGCTAGATTTAAAAGAAATAAAACCACTCAACAATTTTAATGCGATGAAAAATGGCCGGGCAGGGGATTATGCAAATCATACGTTAATTGGGAATACAAATAACGGAGGACCCCAGCTATATACTCGTATATATAATAAATTTCGCACTCGTGCCTTAGGTGGGCGGTAAATTATGTTGTGAACGTTTTCTACGCGCACAACGGGCGAAAATCTCTTAGACCGCGTGGTGCCCAAAAGAAAAATTGGTCATCAATGTAGAAAATGCGTCTATTGTGTAAAGATTCCCGGCCGCGCGGCTTCGGCAAAGCCCTTTCGGCATCTTTTCTAGGCGATTAAACAAAAAATCCCCGGCGTATATACCAATTAGTG